AAAAAAAAAAAAAAAAAAAGGGTGTAGCAAGACACAATTATTTGAGGCTCCATTTTACCCCATCAGGATTAGTTTAATTAGCACTAAATAATAATAGACATTAAAATAATGGTGTCCTTAATTAATCAATGTCTCGCCAGCCAATAAGCTCTTTGCTCCTTAATCAAAATACTAAATTAATGGGAATGCAGCAGTGTTAAAAACTCTTGAGGGAGAGCTTTGCCGCCCTGGTGGTCCTACCCGATTCGATTCCGAATTAGTCGGTTCCTCTGTAGATCCAAAAACCGTAAGGTCCCTGTACCAAAAAAAAAATTAATGGAATAAAGAATCAGAGAACAAAATCGTGATCCAATAAGCATTATATTAACACAAGTCTTGTGGCTTGTGCAAACCAACTCATTTCACTTCCCACAAACTCCCTTCAAGAGCCTCTCTACATGTGTATGCTTTATATTTCTCACTCACTCATCAAAAACTTAAATAAAAAATAAAACACACACATACACACACTTCCTTCATCTCCGTTCTCCTCACCAAATTAAACCATGTCATCAATCCAAGATGATTTCCAATCATGGCTCCCAAACACCACTTCCAACTTCAATCCCACCACCTCCTCCTCCTCCGACTCCCCATCCTTATCCTCATTGAGCCACGAACTCGATACGCTCTCCGGCGACCAGAGCTTCGACAACATTAAATTCCACTCCACCGTCTCCTCCTCCTCCCGAAAACCGCCGCCTTTCACCGTCAGCTCCGTCAAAACCGACACCTCCCAAATCAGCTTCCTTGCCGCCCGCGGCCCCATCCTCTACGCGGCCACCACCCGGGAAGTTTCCCTCTACGACCCCCGAACCCTAACCCTCGTCGGGTCCCTCGGCCCTTCTTCGGCTCTCGCCAGGTCCATCGCCTTTGGCCGCCGCCACCGCATATTCACCGCGCACCTTGACCGCAAAATCCGCGTATGGCGGCGGTCTACCGCCGACCACCGTCGCCACCGTCTCGTTTCCACCCTCCCCACTCTCCAAGACCGCATTTTCCGGTGCCTTATTCCGGGGAGCTACGTTCAGGTCCGGCGGCACGAGCGGCGGCTATGGGTCGAGCACGCGGACGCCGTCTCATCCCTAGCCGTGGACGACTCATCAGGTCTCGTCTACTCCGCCTCGTGGGACCGGAGCTTCAAGACTTGGGATGGTTTGCGTTGCGTGGGGACAGTGCGAGCCCACGTGGACGCGGTCAACACGGTCGTGGTGGGCCCGGCGGGCCGGACGGTTTACACGGGCTCGGCAGACGGGCAGATACGGGTGTGGTCGGCGGTGGGGAAACGACACCACCGGCTAGTGGCGACGTTGGAAAAACATGAGTCGAGTGTGAACGCGTTGACTCTCACGGGGGACGGGTCGGGGTTTTGCTCGGGCGGAGGGGACGGGTTGATTATCGTTTGGGAGAGGGAAAACGAACACGACGACGAGGACACGTGTGAGTTTTTCGTGGCGTGTTGGTTGAAAGGTCATAAAGGGGCGGTGTTGTGTTTGGCGCAGGCGAAGGGGGTGTTGATAAGCGGGTCGTCGGATCGAACGGTGCGGGTATGGGGGATCCGGCCGGGAGGGTACAAGGGCTGTTTGGTAATTTTGGAAGGGCACGTGAAGCCCGTGAAGTCATTGGTTGCGGTTCCAGACGATGAAGAGGACATGAATTTGGATGAGGGTTTGTCGGTATACAGTGGGAGTTTGGATGGGGAAATTAGGGCATGGAAAATTAGTACTATTAGTTCACTGATTGGCTGTGATTGATTGAGGAGCGAGGAATCTTTGTTTGTACCTATTTTATAAGGTTAGAAAGACAAAATTGGTGTGTAGTAATTATAGAAAAATGCTACGGTCTCGTTACGGAACCATTCTGTCGGGGTTTGTAACCGTTAGATCATCTATCCCCGACGATTACATGATGATCTAACGGTTACAAATCCCGATGGAATAGTTCCGTAATTATATTGTTACGAGTTGTTTGTTTGTCGTCGTCATGTGCTGAGGTTGTCTTGTATCTCAAGTTTGTAATATTCGTCATATAGTGGTAATTATTAATAATTCATTGTTGTGCGTTTCATTAATATACTTGTGTTTTATGCTAATATAAGTAATATACAACTTTGTGATCATTTGTGGTTGTCGAATTCCATGTTAAGTTGGGTACACTCACAACACGTGGACACTAACGTAATTACTTTATTATATTAACAAAGTAATTATACGAACACAATACAGACCAAGATAAATACTTTAC